TTCAACTACAGATATATTACAATTTGACATCCAGTTTCTTCATCTATGGCAGGGTTTATCATACTTCTAAATGTAGTTGGTGCTTTATAACTGTAACCTGATGTCAGATGCATCACATAAATGCGATGGCAGATGGTCACTGCCATGTGTGTGATCTTCCATCCTAAGGTGCTGTAGTTTACTGACTGTTTTTGTTGGTGATTGTTTTAAAGTATGAAAACTCCTTCATTACTATGTATAACTATAGTGGTCTCTTTGAATTGACTGATTAGGGTTCTGTCTCAGGATAGGCTAGTTTACCACAACAGGTAATGAAGGCCATCAAAATCCCAGAGACTGAACTCTCCTGTTGTAAGCCTACATAACTCTGACCTGACCTCAGCATTCCAGGCTGCTTCCTTCTTATATGGCATCTCCATCCAGCATGATATTTTAAAGTTCCTGGAGCAGAGGAAGAGAGTATGGAAAATTGCACGTAAGTATTGCACATACATCATTTCTACTTGTAGCCGTTTGGACATTCCCCACCCCGCCCAACTCTAAGGGAGCTGGGAAATACCCTCGTGTGTCCAGGAAGGGAGGGGAACTGGGCCACATGGTGCTGTGTACTGCTTTTGCAGGGTTGACTCTGCTTAACTTAAGAACAAGAGTGTTTATTAGGTCAAATGCCTTGAGAGACAGTTTAGAACAGTTAGGACCTGGCAGCTCTGGAAGGCTTCTGAGCAGGACCTTCTTGGAGTCTTGTTTGGGGCCAGAATGAGTGGATGCCAAAAAGAACGAGTGAACTTCAGCTGTTCCTTTATTCTGTGTCACTCCACTCAGAGGTCGTATTTCTGAGCTTAAACCTTGCTGGCAGAATTTAGGTTTTGTGGCCCTGGCTTTGACCACAGCAGACTGTGAGAGGAAAGGTGTTTCTGATGGGAGCAGGGACCCTTTTAGATTCCTTATTTGGAGGGGAGAATGTCTGTTTTGTCTTCCCAGAGGCTAAGCATAGTACAGGAAATGTAATCCCCCAAAGAAAGTTGACTGGTGGTACGAAGAGGGACTGGATGACTGGTGACCACAAAATAACAAATTTCTTTTGCAGTTGAAATTTGTTGACATCTAATTAAAACAAAACAACTCAGGAAGTTAATGAAGTTTGTGTAGCCTGTTAATGCTTCCAAACTTTTTATATTACCATGAAAGACTGTGTAAGAAATCTACTTGGGATTTTATTTGCTTTTCCTGACAGTTTGTTATCTTTAAGAGAAGGAATCCACCAGTTATAGGCTGTTTGTTTACACTTAGGCATCAATAGGGAAGTGACATGATAGCAGCCATTGCTGCTTCTCTGCCTTGTCTAGATGCCAGTTTGAATGCAGTTACCCAACCAACATACAGAGAATTTGATATGAAAAGTTACATCCGCAGAAGCTAATGTTAAAACTTTGATGTGAAGATGTCTCCAGGAGAGCTTCTTACAGACAATGCTGTAGTGTTGCAATAACAGTTTTAGTTACTAGAGAACAGAATTTTATTCTCTTCAGACAGGCTTATAGTGCTCTTATTTTAGGTGTCGTAGCTTTGTTTGGGAATTGAAAGTGGAGTTCCAAGGAAGATAGGGTCTGGGCAAGTGGTATCAGTTGGAATCCTCTGTTCATTTGAGATTCTGGAATGCCTTTTGCTTCAGGGGCATACTGAACAATATCTAATACTGCACATGATCTAATTAAAGTATCTAATCAAGTTGTCATGATGCCTGCTGCTGTGTCACCTACTGGGAGTAGTTAAGTAGGACTTGAAAAATGTCCATTTGGCCTAGTAAAACACTGACAACAGGAAACAACAAGATACTTTCTCGATCAGGAGTTTAATTCAGTTTCTCTTTGTAGCTGTTAATTGTATACCCAGAAAAATGGATATTTAAATAATGTGAGGGTCAAGAGCAAGCAAATTATACCTGTGAAAATACCAGAATATTAGTTGTATAATTGATGAACTTCCAAGCTTTGGTGTTCTTAATTCATCATTTTCCTGTCTTTCTGCCTTTGACTTAGACTCAGTCCAGGGTCTGAGACTGAAGCACATTCTACATTTTAATTCACTCTGATGACTTAAGGTAAAGGCAAAAGATGCCTGGCTGTATCTTATCAAAGTTGTTTTAAAATGGTTTTGATTTCAAAGTAGTTTAGGAAATAACAGTACAATCTTAAATTATTATTTGTCATAATCAACCAACCAGTCATGCTTGTGGTTGCAGAAGGATAGTTTCCACTAGGGTAATAGAACCAACGATGGTGTGGGTATTCCTCTAGGCATAATGATACTAGAAAGAAGCGCTCTCACTTTCCTTTACTTGGGTTTTTCAAAAAATGCATGTAATAGTAGCAGAATACTTGAATATCCTACTTTTTAAATCTCTTTTAGTCTCAATGTTAGAAGCCCAGGCAAATTTTTACAGACGTAGGAAAACATGCATAAGAATAATATCCACATATTACTTAGATTTCTGGGTTAGAGAAAGAATTAAATCTGTTTTACCTTTCATTCTGTTTAATATTGGTCTTTTTGAAGGTTATTTTACCTAAGTCGACAAAAACTTATTTTTCTCCTTGGTATTTCTTATTTGTGTGGTGTGTTTTTATTAGTTTTCCTTTTCAGCATTACCATTTCTTGAAATTTAAAAAATATCAAGTGGAAAATCCATACAAATAACATTGCAGAGAAACCTACTGTTGTGTACTGTTCAATGCTATCCAAAGTTAACTTTTCAAGTGACAGGTCAGGTTGCTGTGGCATTATTAGCATAAGTTATATGATGTTTGTCTATTTACAAGTTACTGAGATTCAAGGCAATTTCTAGTATGCTGGAGGCAGTTCAGACAAATGCCAGTGGATTACCAAATGGAGAAATACTATAAATCCTTGCTAGTAACCATGAAACAGAAAGCTGGATCTGGGTTTTGAATTTAGTATGAGGTTGACCTAAAAAAATTAAACCTTTTATTTTGAAATAAATTTTGAAACTAATTTGAAACTAATACTGAGAGATACTAAGTACTTCACCCAGTTTTCCCCAGTGGTAACATCCAGGAGAACTATAGTATGACACTATAACCAGGATATTGACACAAAACAGGCTGAGCATTGTTAATTTCAGATGGTTCAGCTTAATACTAGTGGTTGATCAGTGAAGGTCAGAGGTAAAGGAAGACTGTATGTAGAAGTGACCTGCTGCAAGGAATGATGTGATGTCCATGGTTTCTTATTCCTCCTCTATTTCATTATAGAGGATTCACCTCAACTGCTTCATTATAGAGGATTCACTGTATAAGTGCAGTGGGTGATGGGAATTACACATTGTGGTATATCCATACAGGGGAATACTACTCAGAAGTAGAACAGAACAAGCTATCAATGTGTACTCCAACATAGATGAATCACTAACTCATTATGCTAAGGGGCAGTAGCCAGACAAAAAAGAACACTTGGTATATGATTATATTTATGTAAACTCTAGAAAATGGGAATTAATGACAGAAAGTAAATTGGTGGCTCTCTGGGAGGAAGGAAAGGGAGTAAGATGGAGGGATCACCAAGGGAACTTGATTATTGTGGTGATTTCACATTTGCATGGACATATCAAATGTATCTAATTGTATACTTTGAATATGTTCCATTTATTGTATGTCAGTTATACCTTAGTAATTCTGTCTTAAAAAATACCACATCAGGGGGGAGTAGTAAACATAATGTTCTTCATGTAATTGTAGATTAATGATAACAAAATAAAAAATATATATATGAGCAATAAAAAAAATACCACATCAGCATATGTTTCTACCATACTTGGTAGTTTTGCAGCTACCCCACATGCAACTCCAAACTCCTGTTTACAAAGTGAAACCAGTTTTCATATGCTTGCATGTTGTAGCATCTCTCTGGAAGTTTTAAGATGCTTGCTTTCAGGTTTTTTTCTATATCTTTGTCAACAGTAAAAAATAGTCTTCTATGTGCACTGCACTGAATCACACTGTTTTAGAGCAGTGCTTCTACACCAATTTATATATATTTTTTCTTTTTTTAAACTGAAGAATAGTTGGTACACAATATTACATTGGTTTCAAATATATAACAGAATGATTCAACAGTGATCTACATTATTAGATGCTCACCCCAACTAGTGTAATTACTATCTGTCAACATAGAAAGATGTTACAGAATTATTGCTTATATTCTCCATGCTGTACTTTCATCCCCATGACTAATTTATATTATGGTTAAGATTTTGTATCTCTTTATCTCCTTCACTTATTTCACCCACCCACCCCAACCTTTCCCCCGTGGTAGGCACCATATATATATTTTTCCATCTCAAAATAGGCCTGTTCTATGTGTATCAGTCTGAACCCATTCAGTCTGACTTCAGGGTCACACTATGATTTGACTAACTTGCATTCTGGTGTAAATTCTGGCAATGAGTGTGTGTGATTTTCTTGGTATGACTCTTAGGAGATTAACTAGATCTGATGAAGTATGCTGTTGAATTTCAATGTAGATTGTATTGAAATTTTGGTACTTAATATTAGAAGGAATCATTTAAAACTTTAATTAATGTAAGAACTTTTCAAAATGGAGGTGTGCTGGAGCATTTTAGGGACCCAGCATGGTAAAATCTACATTCAGATCCTGGCTGGCTGAGTGCACTGAATGGAGAATCGCTGGCGCTCTTACTTTGGTTAAGAGAACAACTGTTGCCTCCCAGGATCAGCAATACTGTGAAAGTTTGGTAACTGATAAATGCTATATGTATGTAAGTTTATTTCACTGAATATATTTTATCTTCATCTGTGAGAGTTACTATTTCTTTTTAAGAATCAGTAATAATTTGGAATTCAAAATAATTTGGAAACTAGTTCTTAAAAATGGAAGGTGAATTTTGTACAGTCTTGCCTTTTTCATATAGGTTTAAGAACTGAGAGATACATATAAAATAATATACTTTTTTCTCTTTTCAGGCAATTACTGTCTTAACTGAATTAATTAGGGAAAACTTCAGGAACAGCAAATTGAAACAGTGCCTTTTACCAACCCTTGGGGAGCTGATCTATCTCATAGCCACCCAGGTGAGACTGTCGGATTAACTCTGTTGCAGTTTGACATATTCTGACATATCCTGGCTGACAAGTATTAATATCCTTTAACAGTTTTTTGACTTTGCCCCTTAAAGCATGCCTAGGGAACTAAAGAGAATTTTTACCTCTGGAGGACAGAGGCTATCAGTGTCTTTCTGTCTCCCTATCTGTCATCTTCCCTCTCTCCCAGTGTCTCTTTTACTTTAGACTGCAGGAGAGTCTCAGGCCATATTTAAAACCAAAGGACCAAAAGTCGCCAAAGTACTTCTGAGGTTACTGTCACCATTGGCGTCTCCAGGCAAGAGGAGGCCATTGGTTCTCCCAGTGTAAAAGCTCTGTTTCAGTTTAAAACACTACTTTGTGATTATAGTTTGTACTATGGCCATGAGAATTTGTGACTGCAGAATATGACTTCTTACTTCTTAAGCTTTAATGTGGGACTGCTGGAGAATTCAACAAAGGAAGACAGTATTTCATTAATGAGGTTCTTAGAATATTACTGGACACATATTGATTCATTTGCTACTCAGAGTTTTTATAAGTACCTGTAACTTAATAAATTAATGAGGAAGTTCATTGGATTTCTGATGTTTTTTTTCATTTTTTCATTTTTTCAATTTTGGTGTCATTAATTTACAATTACATGAGCAACATTATGGTTATGAGACTCCCCCCATTATCAAGTCCCCCCCTCCAACAAACCTCATTACAGTCACTGTCTATCAGCATAGTAAGATGCTGTAGAATCACTACTTGTCTTCTCTGTGTTGTACAGCCTTCCCCGTGTCCCACCACCTACATTATGTCTGCTAAACTTAATGCCCCTTTCCCCCTTATCCCTCCCTACCCACCCATCCTCCCCAGTCTCTTTCCCTTTGGTAACTGTTAGTCCATTCTTGGGTCCTGTGTTTCTGCTGCTGTTTTGTTCCTTCAGTTTTTCTCTTGTTCTTATACTCCACTCACTTTCTAGATGAGTGAAATCATTTGGTACTTGCCTTTCTCCACCTGGCTTATTTCACTGAGCATAATATCCTCTAGCTCCAACCATGTTGTTGTAAATGGTAGGATTTGTTTTCTTCTTATGACTGAATAATATTCCATTGTGTATATGTACCATGTCTTTATCCATTCATCTACTGATGGACACTTAGGTTGCTTCTATTTCTTGGCTATTGAAAATTATGCTGCAATGAACATAAGGGTGCATATATCTTTTTAAAACAGGGATCCTGGATTCTTTGGGTAAATGCCTAGGAGTGGAATTCCTGGGTCAAATGGTATTTCTATTTTTAGTTCTTTGAGGAACCTCCATAGTGCTTTCCACAATGGTTGAACTAATTAACAATCCCACTAGCAGTGTAGGAGGGTTCCCCTTTCTCTACAACCTCACCAACGTTTGTTGTTGTTTGTCTTTGGTTGGTGGCTATCCTAACTGGTGTGAGGTGATATCTCATTGTGGTTTTAATTTGCATTTCTCTGATGATTAGTGATGTGGAGCATCTTCTAATGTGCCTGCTGGCTGTCTGAATTTCTTCTTTGGAGAAGTGTCTGTTCAGATCCTCTGGCAGTTTTTTAATTAGATTATTTCCTTTCTGTTTTTGAGGTGCATGAGCTCTTTGTGTATTTTGGATGTCAACCCCTTATCATATATGTTATTTATGAATATATTCTCCTGTCTTGTAGATTGTTTTTTTGCACTACTGATGGTGTCCTCTGCTGTACAGAGGCTTTTTAGGTTGATATAGTTTCAGTTGTTCATTTTTGCTTTTATTTCCCTTTCCCTGGGGAGGTATGTTAATAAAGAAGTTGTTCATGTATGTATTCAAGGGAGTTTTGCCTGTTTTTTTCTAAGAGTTTTATGGTTTCATGACTTAATTCAGGTCTTTGATCCACCTCGAGTTTACTTTTATGAATCAAGTTAACAGCCTCTTACATGTGGCTGTGCAATTTTACCAAACCCAGCTGCTGAAGAGGCTGTCATTTCCCCATTGTATATCCATGGCTCCTTTATCATATATTAATTGACCATATATGTTTGGGTTAGTATCTGGACTCTCTATTCTGTTCCACTGGTCCATGGGTCTGTTCTTGTGCCAGTACCAAATTGTCTTGATTACTGTGGCTTTGTAGTAGAGCTTGAAGTTGGGAAGCGAGATGCCCCCTGCTTTATTATTCCTTCTCAGGATCGCTTTGGCTATTCAGTGTCTTTTGTGCTTCCATATGAATTTTAGAACTATTTTGTCCAGTTCATTGAACAATGCTGTCCGTATTTTGATAGGGATTGCTTTGAATCTGCAGAGTGCTTTAGGCAGGATGGCCATTTGACAATACTAATTCTTCCTAGCTAAGAGCATGGGATGAGTTTCCATTTGTTAGTGTCCTCTTTAATTTCTCTTAAGAGTGTCTTATAATTTACAGGGTATAGGTCTTTGAGTTCCTTGGTTAGATTTATTCCTAGGTATTTTATTCTTTTTGATACCCTTGTGAATGGAATTGTTTTCCTGATTTCTCTTCTGCTAGTTCATCGTTAGTGTATAGGAAGGCAACAGATTTCTGTGTATTAATTTAGTATCCTGCAACTTTGCTGAATTCAGATATTCTAGTAGTTTTGAAGTGGAGTCTTTAGGGTTTTTTATGTACAATATCGTGTTATCTGCAAATAGTGACAGTTTGACTTCTTCCTTACCAGTCTGGATGCCTTGTATTTCTTTGTTTTTTCTAATTGCTGTGGCTAGGACCTCCAGTACTATGTTGAATAACAGTGGGGAAAGTGGGCATCCCTGTCTTATTCCTGATATTAGGGAAAAGCTTTCAGCTTCTCACTGTTAAGTATGATGTTGACTGTGGGTTTATCATATACGGCCTTTATTATGTTGAGGTGCTTGCCCTTTATGCCCATTTTGAGAGTTTTTATCATGAATGTACGTTGAATTTTGTTGAATGCTTTTTCAGCATCTATGTACATGATCATGTGATTTCTGTCTTCTTTCTGTTGATGTGGTAGATGATGTTGATGCATTTTCGAATGTTGTACTATCCTTGCATCCCTGAGATGAATCCCACTTGATCATGATGTATGATCCTTGTGATGTATTTTTGAATTCGGTTTGCTAATATTTTGTGGAGTATTTTTGGATCTATGTTCTATGTTCATCAGGGATGTTGGTCTTTAATTATCTTTTTTTGTGGGGTCTTTACTGGTTTTGGTATTAGACTGTTGCTTGATTCATAGAATGAGTTTGGAAGTATTCCCTCTTTCTCTGTTTTTTGGGAAACATTAAGGAGAATGGGTATTATGCCTTCTCTATATGTCAGATAAAATTCAGTGGTGAATCCATCTGGTACCGGAGGTTCTGTTCTTGGGTAGTTTTGTGATTACCAATTCAATTTTGTTGTTGGTAATTGGTCTGCTTAGATTTTCTGTTTCTTGGTCAGTCTTGGAAAGTTGTATTTTTCTAGAAAGTTGTCCTTTTCTTCTAGGTTATCCACCTTGTTAGCATGTAGCTTCCCATAGTATTCTCTCATAATTCTTTGTATTTCTGTGGTGTCTGTCGTGATTTTTCCTTTCACATTTCTGATTCTGCTTATGTGTGTAGATTCTCTTTTTCTCTTAATGAGTCTGGCTAGGGATTTATCTGTTTATTTTCTGAAATAACCAGCTCTTGGTTTCATTGATTTTTTTCTACTTTATTCTTCTCAATTTTATTAATTTCTTCTCTGATCTTTATTATGTCCCTCCTTCTGCTGGCTTTAGGCCTCATTTGTTCTTTTTCCAATTTCGATAATTGTGAATTTAGATTACTAATTTTGATTTTTCTTCCTTTTTTTAAATAGGCCTAGAGTGCTTTATACTTTTCTCTTTAAACTACCTTTGCTGCATCCCACAGAAGTTGAGGTATTGTGCTGTTGTTATTTGTCGCCATATATTGCTTGATCTCTGTTTTAATTTTGTCATTGATCCATTGATTATTTAGGTGTATGTTGTTAAGCCTCCATGTGTTTGTGAGCCTTTTTATTTTCTTTGTACAATTTATTTCTAATTTTATACCTTTGTGATCTGAGAAGTTGGTTGGTATAATTTTAATCCGTTTGAATTTACTGTGGCTCTTTTTGTGGCCTAGTATGTGGTCTTCTGGAAAATGTTCCATGTGTACTTGAGAAAAATGTGTATCCTGCTGCTTTTGGGTGTAGATTTCTGTAGATGTATGTTAGGTCCATCTGTTCTAGTGTGTTGTTTAGTGCCTCTGTGTCCTTACTTATTTTCTGTCTGGTTGATCTGTCCTTCGGAGTGGGTGGTATGTTGAAGTGTCCTAAAATGAATGTGTTGCATTCTCTATCCCCCTTTAAATGTGTTTGTATTTGTTTCACATTTGTCGGTGCTCCTGTGTTGGGTACATAGATACTTATAATGGTTATATCTTCTTGTTGGACTGACCATTTCATCATTATGTAATGTCCTTCTTTGTCTCTTGTTACTTTCTGTTTTGAAGTCTATTTTGTCTGATCCAAGTACTGCAAACCCTGCTTTTTTCTCCCTATTGTTTGCATGAAATATCTTCTTGTATCCCTTCAGTTTTAGGTTCTGTATGTCTTTTGGTTTGAAGTGAGTCTCTTGTAAGTAGCATATAGATGGGTCTTGCTTTTTTATCCATTTTATTACTCTGTGTCTTTTGATTGGTGCATTCAGTCCATTTACATTTAGGGTGATTATTAAAAGATATGTGCTTATTCCCATTGCAGGCTTTGTATTCATAGTTACCAAAGATTCAAGGGTAGCTTCTTTAGTATCTAACCATCTAACTTTAACTCACTTATTAGGCTATTACAAACACAGTCTGATGATTCTTTATTTCTCTCACTTCTTATTCCTTCTCCTCCACTCGTTATATGTTAGGTGTTTTATTCTGTACTCTTTTGAGTTTCCTTTGACTGCCTCTCTGGATAGGTGACTTTATTTTTTGACTTTAGTTAGCATTTTGTTCATCTGCTTT